TAGGAGTTTCAACGGTCGTTTGCTATTACACTACCTCCTCCAGCTCCCCATCCCCAGAACAGTATGACCTCATTTGCAACCAGAAGGCAGCCCGGTGTAATTGCTAAAGAAAGTGCTGTGGACTTGTTGTGCAGGAGTGGGTCCAAAGTCTTCAATAGAGACTAGAAGGGAACAATGAGTGCGTGGGAAACGTTGAGAGACCTATCTTGAAAAATCGGTTATTCAGGTTAGGAAAGCCGCTCTGTTATCAGAAAAATAAGCTCATTAGGAGGAAATTACAACTTTGTAGTTTAACTGGACCGTGATGAACATCATATGAGCGACTTGCCTTACGTTCAAAAGAAATGTACTGTAATTAAAGGCACATTCCCCAATCAAAGGATTGGTGCAGAGCGGATTGAAGGTACGGGTGCGAAGTTGACCGCTAGTGAAGAAAAAGGCAGAAGAAATTACCAAAAATATGAAACCTGTAGGCCTTTTTATGATGCGGGCAGTGTCCGACGGAGAGATACTAGATGCTCAGGAGATAAATAGGCGCGACTCACCACTGGTCATCTGTTTAGAATAGCAAAGCGACAAGTCTCCGGGTTCCATTCCCTGCGTTTTTAAGCCTTGTAAATGGCACTTTTTCCACATTTGGGTTGCTCTGCTCCAACAGAAGAAATAGACTACAAGCTGAAAGTTCATGACTCCAATTTGTAATAGTTAGAGTAGCTATAATATCGAAAGTTCGATTAAGTAGAGTTGAAAAGTGTCGCATCAGATGCAATGACATTTAGCGCAGATTCCAGATCTGGGGTGCGTTGTCTGTCAAAGAGAAGCAAATTACGTTTTGCAACCCGCCGTTAGCTCTTAACGGGTCGGCAAATCAATTTCTGGATCTACACGAATCTCGCAATTATTTTCATCGTCCTTATTCTTCACTTCACTGTATGGGTAATTCTCAAGCGAAAAGGTGGGATCATTTCAATTCTCTAATCCTTTCAATTTTTTAGCAGTATGACTGCATTTCAGGCGTGGAATATTCTGGTGTGTATTCGGGCAGGGCTTCAGGTGAATATGCTTCACCTCAGAAACGAGGCAGTTCATTTCCAAAATCTTAGTGCTGCTTTTTTTCTCCTAGTTTGCTTAGCTTAGAAAGCTTAGCTTAAAAATGTTAAACGTGGGTTCGGAATCACTCTTAAAGTAACTCTGAACCCACTTTCATTTTCTAATGAAAACTAGCAGCAAGTCGGACCGTAGAATTCGCGTTTTTTGAACCTACTCATCGTGACTATGTTGCCATGAACCTGAGCCTTACGTCACACCATGTTGTGCTGACTCGTACAGTTGCGCTGATCGTCCGAGAATAAAGTGCAGGGAATCTCTGAATCCCTCCCCCCACTTTATTCTCAGACGATCAGGTTCTCCTCCGATGCGAAAATTCCTTATCGTAATCGCTTCCTTTAAGGGCGGTTAACTGTCACTCGTGATCTATTCACTGCGCGTATCCAATTTTTTCCACTAAACGCTTGAAAAATGTAATATTTACCTAATCTGGAAGGGCTCGAGTCGCTAGCTACTATCACACAATTTTCTTTTATTTCGTCAACTTCAACTTTTATTTCGTCTGCTAATTCAGAGTAGCAGCTCCTTAGAGTTTTTATATGTTTTCTTTAGTCAGCAGATTACGTAAGCGGATGACCCCTGTGGGACAACAGACCTTTTCCTACAACGAGCATACTCTACGTAACCTCCCCTTCAAAAAGCGAGAAAGTGTCGGGTGCAGACCAAACACCACAACTGACGACGGCCTCCAAGTAAATCTGGTTAGAAGTTGTTCATAGTGATAGCTGATTTCTGGTAAATGATAGTTGTAATTAGTGACAATGATAGAATACAACTGCAACAGGCTAATCATTTCATTGGCAGAAAACATTAACATTTTGTGAAGGCCGTCGTCACTTGTGGTGCATGGTCTGCACCCGACACTTTCTCGCTTTTTGAAGGGGAGGGTACATTAACTTTTGAAAAAGGAAAAATTATCATTACAGATAGAATAGGTACTACAAAATCGCAATGAGCAAGTCGCTTTATTATTTGACTTTTTTTCAGAAAGGACCGTGAAGTATCCGAAGGATCGTATTGAAAGATCAGAAACGGGTACGTCTTCCATTAAGGTTAACAGAAGAGAAATTCAGATTTTATCTTTCAGGCTTTGAACTCGCTCACTCTGCATTTAGTCCTCTTCTTTTGGTCATGGTGTATAACGGTTTTTGGAATTGAACTCTG